AAGAATACGTGTGCGGCCATGAGGCGGCTGCGGGCGGCGTCGCGGCGAAACCCCGTGAGGCCCCCCAAGTGGGCGGCCACGAGGTGGCCACAGGCGGCGACGCGGCGAAACTTCCGGCGGACGCCCCAAGTGGTTGGCAACGAGGCGGCCACGAGGCGGCAATTGGTGGCGATGCGGCGACATTTCGGGAACCCGTCCAATTCCTTGATAGCAGTAGGAATACCCCGTGTGTGAGCATCGTTGGTGGATTATATGTACATATCCGTGGGTGCATACCTGGCCAGCCCGTCAAGCTGGACCCATCCGCAGCGCATTGACAATAACAGCTTCTGGAGGTAAAGAACGACGCATCTGACCACATCGCCACCAAGAGGCACCAGAATTTTGCCCAGTACGCGCGGGAGTCCTCCAATTTCTTGCTCTCGAACGGACACAAGCTCTGGCGAGAGGGCATCACGGTGTCCAAGGCTTTCGTTACTCACAAACCGCGTGCCGCTGCTACAGTGTTATTTGTTTTGGTCATTCCCCGACGTTGCACATTTCCGTCGCTGCTGCCAGGAGGGCGTATTCTCAAACACATGAGCATCCCCCATCCCCCTCCTCCACACCCCCTGGGCAGTTGAGTCAAACGCAAGATGTCCGAAGTTCACGTTCACGACACACGCTGTCATCGAGCGAAGCCCATTCCGAAGGGACCCGCACGCATCTGATCCGCATGTCAACTCAAGGGTTTATCGACAAGTGTGGCACTGCATCGTTTCATGTGATCGTTTTTTCTGCTTTCTGCATTGTTTTGCCGATCGGCACGGGCCCTCGCAACCCCCCCTTCGCCCCGCCATGGAGTAGATCTTGGCTATTTGGGGGGCGCCTGTTTCGAGCAGGTGGAGCCTCCCCCATGGGCCGCACTGGTGCTAACAGTCGCACTGAGCAGAGGTCCAGAGCCAGACATCCCCCCCCCCTCCCCCCCCCTTCCGCTCAATGTCGAAACGCCGAATCAGACAACGTTGACCCTTCGCCCTGGACAGCGTGAGTCGAGCTCCGGGTGCCACCTGGAGCGTTGATCCGGCAGGTCTGGCGCGGCTTCGTGCGAGCGCCGGCCCCGCGGCGGTGATCCCAGCGCGGGCGCTCCAGCTCAGACGCCGCCAGTGGCCCGCCACCGATCGATGTCGAAGGGTCTGCACGATCGTACCAGTTTGAAACATATCCCTATCCCTGTGTTTGGCATCACCTCTCCTCGATGCCGATCTCAAGGATTCTCTCGGTTTCTGAGGGCACATCCCTAAGATTGTCCTCGCTTTTCGCTCGCCCATCTTAGGGATAGGGGTAAGTTCGAGGCTGCTTACGATCGGGACGCCGCGGTCTTTCCGTGGTTGAGCGGTCCACGAAGTGGCATAGACCATAGACCACCCTCCGCGTCGACACGACGTGAGTTTTTGCCGCGCATGCTGTCTCATCGGCATGTTCGCATAGTATGCGTGGCCGTGTGGGCCGCGGGGGACAGCCGCACAGCGCCCTTGCCCCTTTTCCACCTCCTCCTCCTCCTCCTCCTCCTCCTCTTTCTTTATTTTTTTCTCGGGTTTAGGGCAGAGGTTCGACGCCCGCGGGACAGGATGAGAGCGAGACGGAAATGGACAGAAACGACAATGTGGCGGCGACGGCAGAGCAGCAGCAGCAGCAGCAACATGTCAGTGAAACGCTTGCATCCCCCTGGCTTAAGCTCAGTCCTCAGCTAGTTAACGTCCAGCGCAGACATAAACTGATCCACGCCGCGGTCCTTCCCAGACCAAGTCTGGTACTATCAGTTAAGTTGATGAAACTACCTCAGGGGAGGGTCTCACAACAGGTTCTCCTTCCTGGGTTGAGAATCCAAGAAGGCCCTTCACTCAAAGAGTTACTGCCACAAGCGGCGCGCGGAGCCTGAAATGCGGGGAGGGGGGGGGGGGGGGGCGACACGGATCCAAGGGAGGCGAGGTCAGCAAGCAGCGGGTCGAGGGCCCTTCGCCAGTTCTATCCTTGTTATCTCCTTGGGTCTCGCATCCGCGTGTGGAATATACAGTCCATGCCGAGCAATTGATCGTCTAAGTATGGGTCCAGAGGTGTGTGATATTTTCTCAGAAAAGATGGGATCCAAACTTCATCCTCGTGTATCTTATGCAGTGCTTGATGGAGTCGTTTTTCCTCGTCGTATGTCCAGTCATGAGTGGGAGCGCTGATGAGGTCGATGTTGCCGAGGATGGGCGATCCTGGAACATGATTGGGTCCTGGAGCCAGCCTCTGGCTTTTGCCCCTGAGACGGATCCTGGAACATGATTGGGTTCTGGAGCCAGCCTCCTCCTTCCCAGCGCGAGCTCGGATTGCACCCACTGGTACGGAGTGGACGCGACTTTGAAAAAATACGTGAGACATGCGATCTCGCCGGCGGGACCCTGCTTCCGTGCCATCGCCTCACGCGCTTTTGGCCCGGCCGTACGTGTGCCGGCACCTCGCGGCTGCGGGCCTGAGCCAGGGCCTCCTTCTCTTAGGGGAACGAAGAATGACATACGCATAAAAACTCGGAGGTCCGCGCGGATTGCTCGGATCCGCGCTGGACTCCCCTCCCTGGCGCGCGGAGCGCGCCAGGGGCGGCGCCGGAGGCGCCGCCAGGGGGGTCCAGCGCCCACCTGAGCAACATCCGCGCGGCGCGGACCTCCGATTTTGTCATGTTTGTGTCAGTCTTCGCTCCCCTATCCCTGCGCGGATCCGAGCAATCCAGCGCGGAGCCGAGCAAAATCCGCGCGGACCTCCGAGTTTGTATGTTTCTGCCATTCTTCGTTCCCTATTCCTGGCTGTTGCCGTAGTAGCTGCCGTAGTGCTTGGGCATGATGTGGTCGCCGTGAGAATGCTCGTAGAGATGGGAGTGTGCCTCCACCAGGAGGTGACATAGGAGAACAAAAAGTGGCATAAACCTAAAAGCTCGGAGGTCCGCGCGGATGTTTCGGATCGGCGCTGGGGCCCCCCGGTGGCGCCGCCCCTGGCGCGCTCCGCGCGCCAGGGAGGGGGGTCCAGCGCCGATCCGAGAAATCCGCGCGGACCTCCGAGTTTTTAGGTTTATGCCACTTTTTGTTCCCCTATGAAAGCTGGGCGATAGAGGAGAAAAGAACAACAAAATCTTCGTCCCCTATTCCTGTGCGCCACGTCCCGACGGCCTCTGGCGGCCGAGCAGGCCGCCGCGCAGGTGCGCCCGGAGCCTCCTTCTGGAGAGGGCCACGATCCGGCGGTGCCCTGCGGAGGCGGCGGCGAGGCCTCGGCGCGGATCCGTTCGTCAGCCTCCGCGCACTCGGCTTAAGTCGGGCATGTCCCTCTACAGGAGGAACATATTCCAAGAAATAGTTTAGTTAGAAGAAACAAGTCGGGGGGCGATTTCTCGAGTACCTCTGACCATTTGGGAATCTTTGTTTGGACTAGTTGTGGTTTTCCGTCCAAGATCCGCCTGTAGGGGGACACGCCCGGACTAAGCCTGTTCGTCGGCCTCCGCGCACGCGGCCTGCTCGTCGGCCGCCGCAGGCGGAAGCGGAGCCTCTCTGGACAGCGCTCCAGCGCCTGGCCCTCGTCCACGCTGCCGCGCCCTTCGAGGGCCGCCATCTGGGAGGGGTGCAGCGACGTCGCCGAGCGGGGGCGGATCGAGTGGTTCGGGCCGAACGAAATGGGGGGATAGGGAAAGGGGGGGTTACGAAATCTGCTGCATGCAGCTGGTTTCGGTCCCGCCGCCGGGCCCATTCCTCGATACATGGGCGCCTCCGGTGCCGGGAGGCGCCGGGAAAATCAGCTACGTGAGCTGATTCTCAAGCCCTCCCTTTGCCATCCCCCCCTTTCGCCCGGCCCGAGGTGCGCGGATAATGTGCGCATTACAGTGGAGACCCATGCCGAGAAACACCCTGCTTGTCCCCAGGGTGCCTTGGGTGTCTTGGGTTCCGATGGTTTTGCTACGGAAAGCGTGACGTTCCCACACCAAGAACCAATGGACGTCCTGGGGTCTCAGGGTTGGGTTTCTTGTGGAAGGGTTCTTGTGGACTGGCCTCCACTGTAGGATCTCCAGGGTCGGCGAGGGCTTCCTTGTATATGGTGGCAGTTCTTGGGCCACTGGCGTGGCAGCGGGGCGGGAAGTGCGGCCCACCAGGCCCTTGCTGAGTTGAGCCGCGGCTCCTCGATCGATCTCGCTGGTGTCAAGTCGTCTTGCGGGGCCTGCGTCTCGACTGCCACACCCGCCTTCTGCCGCACACCGCGCGCCGCGGCAGGAGCAGGAGCAGGAGGAGGATCTCGGGAGCGGCTCGGTGGATCTGAGCACCCGCCTGCTCTGGAGGGGGGATGCTGTCGGCGTCTCCCCGCAGGCCCAGCCTCGCCCGCCTCATACGCACGGTGGCCCCGCGCGAAGCGCTCAAGCCTTTGGCAGAACGGGCCCCCTAGGAGGACCTGCTTCATTGCTTGGCTCCTCCGTTTCGACAGGAGGCGCTGTGCAGGTAGGCCTACTCTGTCTCGTCCACTCCGTCATTGCCCGCCTCTACCGTGAGAGAAAACTGTCCGAGTGCCGCAGGCAAGGTCCGGTGAGCGCACGTACGCATCGGTCTCTATGTCGCGTCCCTTTCTTGTCGCCCTCCCGCCATGATGTGGCAATGCTGCGTGCAGCAGTGCGTTTCTGCAGATTCGAGGCTGGAGGACTGCTGCAGCCGTTTGCGCGTGCCGTGCGGTGGTCGCCGAGAGACTGGGGAGCTCTCGCCCCCAGGGTCGCGCTGAAAGAGCCCGTTCGTGTTGCGCGTGGGCTAGATCGTGAAGAAAAGCGTCTCGTGCCAGCCCCTGGCACTTCCTCCGGTTCTGCGTGCCTCGGGGGCCTGCGGAGCAGGCCCAAACCAGGGGCAATGCAGTCTGAGCGAAGGCCTCCGTGTTCGAGGACAGGGGGGGGGCGCAGAGCACGGGAGACGCGGCGTGGGGCGCGAGGGGAGCGGGACTTGGAAAGACGGCTCCAGATGGCGGCGAGCTGCAGGGTGTGCGAAAAGAAGTGCGAGCAGTGGTGGGAGCTGTTCCAGTCCCCTGTCCACCAGGACGCTGGGAACGCCTGGCAGAAGGAGGAAGAAAAGGAGGAGAGGGAGGAGCGGGGAGGTGCGAGGGGAGCGAGGCTGAGGGTGATGATGATGATGATGATGTTGTTGCTGATGATGATGATGCTGATGCTGATGATGATGATGATGATGATGATGATGATGATGATGGTGATGGTGATGGTGATGATGACGATGACGATGACGATGACGATGACGATGACGACGATGATGATGATGATGATGATGCTGACGATGATGATGATGATGATGATGATGATGATGATGATGATGATGATGATGATGATGATGATTATGATGATGATGATGATGATGATGGTGATGGTGATGGTGATGATGATGATGATGCTGATGATGATGATGATGATGATGATGATGATGATGATGATGATGATGATGATGATGATGATGATGATGATGATGGTGACGATGCTGGTGCTGCTGCTGATGAGGAGAAGGAGGAGGAGGAGGAGGAGGAGGAGGAGGAGGAGGAGGAGGAGGAGGAGGGGGTGGAGGAGAAACACCTCCTTCTCCCGACCGTCCCCCTGCCATACACCGCACACTGCCCCTCCGCCCCACCCAATCTGCCCTCCCTCAACCTCCATTCCTTTTCTCTCCCCCTACCCCTTCCATTCCTGCCCTCCCTCCCCACCTACCTGCACCAAACCTCTTCCCCACATAAGCTCCCCAGGTTTCTGGAGTAGAAGGGAGGATCCAGAGGCAGAAGGAGGAGGAGGAGGAGGAGGAGGAGGAGGAGGAGGAAGAACAGGGGCGGCAAAGGGAGGAGCAGGAGGGAGGCAGGAGGAGGAGGGGGAGAAGGAGGAGGAGGAGGAGGAGGAGGACGAGGAGGAGGAGGAGGAGGAGGAGGAGGAGGAGGGGGGAGGGAGGAGGAGGAGGAGGAGGAGGAGAGAGGAGGAGAGGAGGAGGAGGAGGAGGAGAGGAGGAGGAGAGGAGGAGAGGGAGGCGGAGGAGGAGGCGGAGAGAGGAGGAGGAGGAGGGAGGAGAGGAGAGGGGAGGAGGAGGAGGAGGAGGAGGAGGAGGAGGAGGAGGAGGAGGAGGAGGAGGAGGAGGAGGAGGAGGAGGAGGAGGAGGAGGAGGAGGAGGAGGGGAGGAGGAGGAGGAGGAGAAGAGGCGGAGGAGGAGGAGGAGGAGGAGAAGGAGAGGAGGAGGAGAAAGAGGAGGCGAGAAGGCGAGCAGGAGGGGGAGGAGGGGGAGGCGGAGCAAGAGGAGGAGGAGGAGGAGGAGGAGGAGGAGGAGGAGGAGGAGGAGGAGGAGGAGGAGGAGGAAGGAAGAGGAGCCCCCCGCGCAAATTCCTGTTGCCCACGCTCCCCTCAATGCCAGCGCGCCGCCGCCTCTCACGATCCTCCCGCGCGCCGCGCTGTCCTCCCTGCACCCCTCTGGCGGAGGGCCGGCAGCTCTCGAGGTCGTGGCCTCGCCCTCCTCCGACGAGCCGAAAGACCAGTCATCGGATTTTGTTGTTGCATATGTCGTTGAAGCCACGGTGAAGTGTTTGTGCCTCAGCTGTCCTGACACGCCCGTTTTGAAACTCAGCACGTGCCGTGGTCAATACGTTGCGTGTTGGATCAAATATTGGCCCACGCTTTGGCGAGCGTAGCGTATCGCGTCAGACCTACGTTTTCAGGATACGTGTTGAGCTCCGTATCGATACGCTACGTGCTGCGTGTTGCGTATCGGGGCAGCTAAGGTCAGCGGGTTGCTGTAAAGTTATAGTTATCATTGAAGCCACGGTGGTGATTTTGTGCATGTGCAGTTCCTCGTCTCTTGAGTCTGCTCCCTGCCTGCTTCCCGTCGTGGTGCCCTTCCCCCGTCCGTGTTGTCCCACGCTCACGCTGCACTTGCTAAAGTTTTCCCGGCCCAAAACGGGTCCTCCTCGTCGTCGTCGCCCTCGTCGTCGTCGTCCTCCTCGTCGTCGCCCTGGGGGGCCCGGCGAAGTCGGGCGCTTCGCAATGGGTGGGGTGCGGGCCAGCGGGATCCGCCGCGGCGGGCTAGCCGGGCTGTGGGCCTCGATGCCTGTTTTGCACTCGTCTTGTCCCGCGTTTCAGCGTCGAACTCTCGGCGCCACGGCGCCGCCGCTCCCCTCCCAGAGGGGCTGCGCCCCCGGGGCGTCAGCGAGCGTCCGTTGGCCGTGAGCTGTTGGCTGAGAGGCCAGTCAGCGGAGAGAGAGAGAGACGACAGCGGGCAGTGCTGAAAGTGAGGAGGTTCCCTGTGAGGCCGGGCGGTACGGCTGCAGTCCCTGGGAGCTGCGCATGGGCGGCAGCAGGAAGTCATGTTCTCACACGCAGCTGCACCGCAGACTCTAGTCGACAAGGCTCCAGCACTTACGCCGATGGAGGGCGGCGTGCTCTCGGCATCGTGGCCTCGGCTTGGCTCCGCGCATATAAAAGATGAGTGGATGCAGCGAGATTCCGTCTCAATATCATGTTGGTGGGCCACGTTAAGCGGGCAAATCTGATTCCATCGCTTGCTCAGTCCGCCGGCCCAGGCTGTACCGTCGTTGGCACTTGCCTGCGTCTTCGCGGGGGAGGTGGTGGGTTGCAGTCGTTTCCCTGCGATGTCGAGATAACCTCGCTTAGGGGAGAAACAGTGGCAGGATAGTTGCAAGGCAACGCTCAACGGTGCACGCCCCCACCGAAGTTCCGTCCGTGCATCCCGCCACCATGCTTGGGTCGTGGGTCAGAGGCACGTTGGATGCCCATCAGGTTCTCTTGGGATGCTTCTCTGGTGCCTCTGGAGGCTTGCTGGGGGCCTCTTGGGGACTTGCTGGACGACTTGGGGACCTCTCTGGGCCCTCTTGGGGCTTCTTGGGAACTTATTGGGGCCCTCCTAGGGCCCTCCTAGGGGCTTCTGGAGGGCTCTTTGGGGCCTGCCAGCGGTCTCGGAGGCCCTCGTGGGACCCTCTTGACTCGAGCCGTCTTGGGGCACCCATTGGAGCTTCTGGGGCCGTCTTGGAGCGATCTCGAGGGCCTTTCAGGGCGTCGTGTGCTTCTTGGACGCCCGAACAAAGAAGAACTCGAAACTCTCCGAAAAGCCTCATAAGAAAATCAATGATGTTTGCCTCTGAGGGCCCTTGAGGGAGGTCCTCTCGAGGGTCTCTTGGGCCCTCTTGGCGGCCTCTCGCCGCCATCTTGACGCCATCTCCATCTCGGACCGACTCGTGAAGTCTTAGACCGCCTCGGAGTTCCCCTGGGTCGCTCCTGGGGCTGCCTTTGGGTCCTGAAACCCGCGCCCAGAAGCCCCGGCTTCTCTGCACCGACCCTGCTTGCCGGGACCTGCCCGGGGCATTTGTCCTTCAGGGCTCGCCCCGCACGCACGAAGTAGCAATATCCGAGGTGAGGGGGTGAGATCGCCCACCTGGAAATCGGTTTCGGTTTCGTGTTCGTGGCGTGCGTGCGGGCGAGGCGAAGCTGCGTGGGTCTAGGCCTCCTGGACGGGTTCGGAGCAGATGGGGTCGGCGGATCGCGCCGCGTCGCCGATGCATCGCCGATGCGGCTCGATGTTGAGCCCGAGTTGCTTCACGTCGACGTCGCCGATGCATCGCCGACGTCGCCAGTGCATGGCCTGATGCATCGCCGATGCATGGGCGATGCGGCGCGATCCTCCGATCCCATCTAGGGGGCCTCCAGTAGAGGCGGTGGTCCACCCACGCCCACCCCCTGCGGGCGCGCGGGGGCCAGGGTGTTCCGTGCGGTGGCGCGGGTGTGTCCCGCGCGCGGTGGCGCGGGGTGTCCCCCGCGCAGTGGCGCGGGGTGTCGATGAGGTCGATCGTGAGATCGACGGGGAGACCGATGGTGAGATCGATCGCGAGATCGATGGGGAGATCCGTTGTGCGATCGGGAGTGAGATCTCCTGTGAGACTGATGCTGAGGTCGCTCGTGAGGTCGATAGCGGGATCGGCAGTGGGGTCGCTCGTGAGATCGACAGTGGGATCGACAGTGAGTGAGATCGATAGTGAGATCGATCGTGAGAACTGGTGTGAGATCGATCGTAAGCCCGAATGTGAGATCGATAGTGAGATCGATGGCGAGATCGATTGTGAGATCGTCAGTGGGATCTGTTGTGAGATCGATCGTGATATCGGATGAGAGATCGATAGCGAGTTCGATTGCCGATAATGAGATCGATAGTGAGATCTGTTGTGAGACCGATAGTGGCTGTTGTGAGATCAAAAGTGTGATCGATGTGAGATCAATTGAAAGAGACGTTGGTTCCCCCTCCCCCCCGAACCTCCATATCAACCGAAGGGTGGTCGTACAGGTACAAGTACTCTGGATCTCGCACCGCAGATCCTAGCACGCCTAGCGGGGGTCAGCGTCAGCGGGGGTCCGCGCCAACGGGGGTCAGCCAATCCCCTCTGGCTGACCCGGGCTTGGGAGCCACGTGCGGACGACTTGTCCTTTCCGCCCGCCGCTGAACTGGTTCTGGGAGCTACTGAGCGGCCGGCTGGGCTTCGCGGCAGGACCCTGGCCGACCTGAGTTTGTGTTGATCTGGGTCTGTGCGTCCCCGATTTGGCCGGTCGGACCAGCGAATTCAGGTCGCTGATGCGCAATGTACGATCGACCGGGTACTCACCACTCCATTCTGGCCGCTGCAGGCGGCAGGGTTCTGGCAGTTCCCGAATGTCCCAAACCTCTAATGTCCCTCACGCTCCTTCTCTTCATCGCCGTCCTCCTCCCTGCCCTCCTGCTCCCTGTCGTGATATCTCGCGCCTTTCTCGACCGATGAGGGCAGGAGACAGATAGCCTGCAGACGCTCCAGGCTCAGGCTTCCGTCGGCCTCGACTCCCTGGGATCCTCGCCTGGCCACCGATTCGGCCGAGCCGAACGCCCTGCGCCCTCGCCTTTCCCACCAGCGGCCACAGAGCTGGCGAGCGTGCGAACACCTGCCGGGCACCCAGCTAGGCTCTGCCCGTTCGCAGCCCGAGCCAACGATAACCAAACCAAAAAGAAGCGAACAAGAAGAAAGGCAACAACAAGAAGCGCAGAGGCAGCGCGCTCTCGGCTCAGCTCCTGTTCGGCATCTTCTCCGACGGCGTGTGGCTCGAGCGTGGGCAGGCGTGCTTAGGCCCTCATCCCAGGCGAGGCCCCCGAGGCGGAGGCCCCGAGAGGGAATGTGTAGTCCAGCTCCGCCTTTGAATCTTATGGAGACAGTTGCGGTAGGCCCGTCACACAAGTAATTAGCCTGCCAATAGCCCCGCAGACCCACAGAAGCTCTCGGGGACCATTGGATTGAAAAATCGACGAACGGTGCGGCTCTCTATTCTTGTGTATATATATATATATATGTGTGTACATGCACACACACGCGTATAGCCAGCGCTGACCCATAACAGGGTGTTTCCAGCAACTCACGGTGTGCAATCTATTTGGAGCAATGTATGTTGTGGAATATGAAACATAAAGTGTGCAATACATGTCGTGGATTCTACGTTGTGCAATAAATGTGGTGCAATCGACGTAGTGCGCAACGTATGCGGTGCAATCACCGTGGTGCAATCGATGTCGTGCAATCTATGTGCTGCCATCTATGTGGTGCAATATCTTGTGGTGCACTCTACGCGGCGCAAGACACTGGTGCAATGTATGCTGCGCGATCTACGGCGTGCAATATACGTCGTGCAATCTATGTGGTGCAACCGATGTGTGTTACCCTCGCGGTGCAGTCTACATGGTACACATGATGTTTAGAACGAGTTGGCCGATCCCATGCCCTTGCAAACATCTCGTCCACCCTCCCGTAACTTGGTTTGCTAAACCCATGCGGCGGCGATTGCGATGAGTGCTTGGCATTGGCTGGCGCATCTCTGCGGCCATGATAGCCCGCGCACGCTCGCGCTCATAGTGGCCAGCTACTTTGGCGCGACCGACGCGGCCACGGTGGCGCTGACCGCTGGGCACTTCCCAGCGGGCACTTCAGTGCGAGTCGGTGACTGGGGCGGGCGCGCTATCATGGCGACGCCGACAAGGGTAGACACGATTATGAAAATAGCGATGATGGTGGCGATGGTGGCAATGACGACGGCGCGGCCAATGAATGACGGCGCCGATGTTGATCACGCCCGCCGGTAACGTTGGCGACGTCCTCGCGTCGGCGATGAAGGTTTTGGACAGAGTTCGACATGCGCGCGCGGCCGACGCGCGCGAACGGCCCGCGGGGTATTAGTTGACACGGATCGTGCCCCCACCCCAGCACGCGCGCAAGGGCGTTCGAGTGATTCGGCATGCGGCGCGAAAAGCCCGTTTGGCAGAGTTTGATGGTTTAGTTTGGAAACGAAATGTTTTCTTAAGAACCCGCAAAGGCGCGAGCGCCTGATTTGGGGAAACAGATGTTGCAGAACCGTGTGTTGTATACGTTTTCCGGGCACTCGATTTTGAAAGATTTCGACATGCGCGCGCGATGACGCGCGCGCGTGTGCGTTTTGCCAGTTTTTGTGTCGTAATGGTTTCTTGCGACAGCACGCACGCAAGGGTGTTTGAACGATTTCGACGCGCGCGCGAGAGGCCGATGTCGAAACAATTATGGACATGTTGAAAAGAAAAATAAATCGCAAGAACCCGCGAGAGCGCGGAAACATTTTCTCGTTTAAAGAGGTCATGTTGCAATACAATGTTTTTCTTCTATGATCGCGACCATCGATTTTGAAACCCTTGCGCAACCGACGGAATTCGGCATGCGCGCGCGACGACGCGCGTGCGCTTGTTGTCCCAATGTGTGCAAGGGGTTCTTGCGACAGCATGCGCGCAAGGGCGTTCGAAAGATTTCGAGAGGCCAAGTTGGAAGCATTTTGTAACTTTGTTGAGAAAAACATGTGCTTTTCATTGGCGTTCGTAAAGCGCACGCGCATTTTTTGCGTTGGAAGTTGTTCCCGTACGAAACCCATGGCTGTTTTCAATGATTCTGGCATGCGCGCGCGACGACGCGCGCGCGTGCACTTCGTGCCACTTGTTGCAAGGGGTTCTTGAGAGTTGATGTTTTATCAACGCGCGCGTCGTATTTCTTGCATAGGATGGCGGGGGAGGGTCGATGCCGGCCCGGCTGGGATGCCAAGAGCTCATATTTAGGATGGACCAGGGGTCAGGATCATACGTGAATTCGCAAGCGAATCTAGTGAGGGATACGATACGTCCAGGGGAGGTAGGTCCTAAGTGTTATTCCGACAAGAGGATCTATACGGCGCAACCGATTTGTGTACTCCGTATTGTGCACTATGTTGTGCAATAATTAAGGTGCTATCTATGGGTTTGCGATTGGTTGTACAGATGAGTCCACACATCCCACGCCCTCGCAAACATCCCACCCACC